CTCAGTTCCCTGCCTTTCCTCTCATCCCACCCACAATCTTTTTTTTTGCATTTCAGTCACAGCATTTGACCGCTGTTGCTGCTGAAGGATTTATAAAGCCTGTGCTTTGCAGTGTATTTGCCCTCTTGGGTGCCCTGCAAGGTAAGAAACTCAGAGCAAGGCAAAAGGCATGTGGCCAGGCAGAGTCAAGTCAAGAGAATTCAGATTTGCAGGCACTGAGTCACGTCCTGCAAACCCCAAATGAGGTGCTTTTTTATTTATTTTATTTTGAGTCTTTTGCCCTCCTCTTCTGTCATATTTTTCTCTGCTTTCTTCATGTTCTCTTCCTCTTGTTTTACCCTAATCTTCCTTTTTCTTTACAGTTTTCTCACTTCTGCTTCCCAATTTTTCTGTGGTTTTGCCGGTGAGGATGTCTTTCAGCATGTAATTGCCTTCCATTGGGCAAAAATAAGGTATTTGTGACACAGATGTCACTGACTGCTGACACCACCACAGACTATGCCCCTGAAGAGTGCTGAGGTCTTTCTTTCCAGAGCAGTGACATACACCAATAAAGCAAAAAGCCCTTTGCTCACCTTGCCCTGCTTGGTCTGCAGCAGAGACACTGCTGCATTTCCAGCTGTAGTTACCCTTGTCCAGCTCCACCCCTGTTAGCAATTGTTGAGAGCCATAATGTAGATCAGTGCCCTGTTAGTGCCACTATTTTTAGGACTGTGGGTCTGGTTTGTGGTTGTTTCATTCCTACTACTTGCTCAAAGCAGCATGGGCTTGACAAGGGGAGAGGGGCTGGCGAGGGAAAAGGTAAATATGGTATTAACCCTCCCACGAATAGTCTGGAGTTGTTAGGAAGCTCTTCTACCCACAGCATTTATTAGAGCAGTTGCAGGACTGCTCTCTGTTATCTTTCAGCTTTCCATGTGCCGTGGGGAGGGCTTTTGGCCCGTAGCCCACTGCCGCCTTCCCACCTTCCCAGCTAGATGCGGTGCCACCCCAGCCCGGGGCAGGAGGCACAGCTGGGAGCCAGCCCCACCGGCCGCTCCTGCTGGAGCTCCGGGCTCTTCCCGCAAGGCTTCCCCCGGAGCAGGTACAGCACCTTCCAGAATTAGTCCCAGCATTGTCAAACCCAGGAGGTGTCTGGTCCTGGCGGAGCAGACCACTGCACGCCGGGCTGTGGGCTGCCCTCCTGGCCTGGCCAGCAGCCTCCTGAGAGCCAGGGACTGACCCAAGAAGCTTATGGCCACACTGAGGACCTGCCAGGGACCTCGCACCCGCCAAAACCCCAGCCCACAAGGGATGGTCGTATGCTGAGCAAGCCCCATACCATTTTCTTGTGTGGATTATTATCCACCACGACTCACAGGAGAATGCAATACGATCGCAATACAGTCACTTTCAAAAGCAAAGTGTTGTCACACCCTACAGCAAGTAGGTAAGAAACCGAGCCCCCAGAGGGGCTGCAACAAATGCTTCCTCCCAAGTCCGTTCTGTGTGTATTTACATGTAATATGAGATTTGTAAAGTCATATCAGTATGTGTAGATTATATATAACTCCATACTTATATGGTGATTTCTTATGGCATTGACTGTTGCACCATGTTAAATACATTTTGTTTTGGTTTGATGACTCCGTTTTGATGTGCTGTGTTTATTTCAACTCCAGAAACTGAAACATTGGCAGTACCTGGCTAACCTGCTGCAAATGACGGCACAATCAGAAAGGTTGTTTAAATTCGTACGAGTCGATCTCTTTTAATGTAAACACTTTATGTATGATTTATGTGACATTTTCATTCTGACAGCTTGGCATTTATCACAAAAGATAGATAACACATATGATGTGTTAGTTTATCACCTCTAAAAAAGCATAACCATCCCAGACACATGGAGGAACCAGGTTTGGGCTCAGGGTAATGATTATGGTTGGGTTGGGGCCAAACTGGATAACATTGAAACTTAGAGAAAAATCCAAACTTAGATCCACCCTACAGTGACCCAGTCCTAGTCCTCCATCTACACCGTGCCACCTACCACCCCCAGGCAGAGCCAGGAGAGTTTGGGAACTAGGAAGGGATCAGGACTGAACTCAAAGCTCAGACTCATTACTGATTTACTTGTATTCTGAAGATGAAGTAAATGCAAGTCTTTAATATGGTTCCCTGTTCTTCATTCACACAGAAAGTTAAAACCAGCACATATGGAAAATGTAAGAGCTGGAGGAGGCTGAAAATTCACGAAACAGAGAGGCTGGAATATTTCAACACAGTTGCTTACTGAAGGAGGTGGTGGGGAGGAAGACAAGAAAGAAAGGAAGAGATGGTAGAATAATACAAATTAAAAGAGAACAGAGTTCAGCTGCAGCTAAGATAATTCCCAAATGAGCAGCATAACTCAGTTACAGCAAGCTTAGCCCAGACACAGGCAGGATGAATTTCAGTCTTCTTGTGAACTGCTGCAGCCACCTGTGGCTTTAAACACCATGTCTAAGATCTTGGCATGGCCAGTTTAGTCCCATATGTATTTCAAGATGGAGAGTTATATTTGGGTCCTCAGAAGTGGCCACTCTAAACAGTATTATTATCCGGCATGAACAAGCTCTGGCAATCCCATTATTATGATGGGTTGGGCAGAGAATGGAGATGGTTTATGCCCGTTTTAACCTTTTCAGTATCCTCAAAAGCCACTGCAATATCCAGCAGCTCTCAAGCCATGTCCTTGGCAGGGTTTGGAAAGCCCAGAGGGTTTCTGCTTCTTCATGTCCTGTGTTCTGGCCCAGCTTTGGGGCATTTATTTGAGAAGCCATCCCTAAGCTGCAAAAGCCCTCACACACATGGAGCTCCCTCTTGTCACTTGCTGTAGCCTCTGGTGGTGACTGAAAATCTGGGAGCAGCTCCTGTTCTGGCCTGGGGCTGAACATGATGGTTGCAACAGATCACCCACTCAGGAAGCACCTGAACAGCCGTCCTGGGTCTCCTACACCATAGAGCAGAGCTACTCCTGCGACTCTTGAATGCCACTTCGTCATTGTCGTTGCCATTGCCGCAGCTTCCTGATGCAGAATGAAGGATCTGTCCCCTAGCAATGGAGGGGATAACGCTGGTCTTCAATTCCCGAGTTCAAGGACAGGTTTTCAAATCCAAGTGCAAACCGGGCAGCTCCATGGAAAACACCCGATCCAAAACACAGGGATTTGGTATCCATGTGCAGACTGACTGCTTTGACAATGGAGTAGTGGCATGCGTCAGCAGCTTGTGCTGAACTTTTAGGACTACAGCTTCTCATGTGGAAATGGGTGTTTTGGGGTGATTTCTCACGGGGATAACCCATCATTGCCCTGTTGGATCTCAGTAATTGGAAGAGGCTGAACAGCAGAGGAAGGTGAGGAAGTCCAGCAAATACTCTTCCTCCTGCCTTCGCTCTCCCCTCCCTCCCTCTCTTCCTTTCTTCCTTTTTCCTTCTCATCCCCAGCAGTCTCCCAGCACTGGGAATTCACCTCTTGATTATCACACAGCTCTTCAGGCATTTTCTAGAACATGCCTACACCACCCAGCAAGTCTGGTGAGATGTGACAACACACTACTGCAACAGAAGTAAGGGAAGGACATAAGCCAGGGAGGCACCAACTTATTTATAAGCCACTGTGCTGTGTCCTGTGCACATGAGCACCAAGCACTGTCGCTGGTGTTACGGCCTGTAGGACAAAACCACATCGCTTAATTTAGTGGCACAGGAGGCTGAGAGAGTTTATTTGTCTTCATTTCCTAAAAGCATTTCAGATTCACCAGTTCCTTTGGTTTCTGCATGGCAATATTGCACTCCTCTGTAAGTTTTCCCACAGCAGTTTGCACTCCAACTGGCAGTGCGTGCAGGATTTCAGTCCAATTTTCATATGGCTCTTCCTGCCTATCACTGTTAACACAAAGCCCTTCTCAGAAGAACTGAAGCCAGATCCCCTGATGGAGAAAATTCCCTTTGGTCTACTGCTTCCAGAAAAGCTTTGCTCTCTTACACCAGCCCAGAGTCTGGCCTGTGCCATGATACAACAACTTTCTATTGGGTACTCCTCTTTGCAGATAAAAGCTCCCTTCCCCTTCTCCTCCCTCTTCCCAAAGCCTTTGGGATCACCGCTTATGAACAACATGCCTCTTGGGGTAGAGGCGTGCTCCGGGCGTGCAGTGTGGAGTCAAGCCTCTCTCGGCCGCTGCCTCCCTGGACGAGCTTGACCAAGTCGGGGCGGTTGCCTGTGCCTCCTCTCTACCGCTTGTAGAGCGGAGCGTTTCCTGAGCCCACAGGGCCAGTGTGGTGTTGTAAGCCTCGGTAATTGTAAGGCTAGAGGAAATTCTTAGAAGGAAAACGCCGTAGAAACACAGCGTTCTTCTAGCGGCCATTATTTTTTCTCATGAGACAACTAAAATCTGCAGAAGTAGCTACTTTCTGGAAGGCGCTATCGCCATGAGTAAGCGCAGAAACACGCCGCGCCCGGGTAGATGGGTATATATGGATACACGGGGGAGAGGGAGCCGCCACAGCAAGCGCACGCGAAGCTTTGAGCAAACACTGGCGCAGAACCCAGCCCAGGATCACGACAGTGACAGAGCCCTGTCACGATTTCCTGTCCCCGAGAGCACCCAGGCTTCCCGCAGGCTCTGGGGCCAAGGGCTTGTCAGTGTCCCCTCCCGGCCGCCTCATTACGGCAGGAGGCACTGGGGAGGGAGTGACATTTCCATTCCAGTCATGAAATCTTCCTGGCGCTGCTCCAGTCCCCTAGGAATTCCTATCAGAAATGCAAATGGCTGGGGAGGGGGGATGAGGGTGAAGATCAGGGTTTGGGAGGGAATTCTGTGAGCTTGCTGTGCCTCAGTTTCTCCATCCCCTAACGGGGATAAGGCGGTTTCCCCGCGCCCCTCC